TATATATATAGTAGATAATAAATAAATAAGTCCTTGCGAAGGAAAATATAGAATAAAAACAATTTTTTCAGATCGTCCGCTAAGCCTTTCTGCCTTCTAGGGCTTCTTCAGGCGGATTCATATATATATATGTAGTTAAGCTTGATTTGTGTTTTATACTCGTATTTCTTCTTAACAGGTTTTCATTAACCTCGTTGAAATTCCGAATTCTGGTATCTATCATTTCTTCAACCTTAACGATCCTAAATACAATAAACCATCGCTTTTATTGATTCGATTAGGTCGATTAAGGCGTGTTACACTTTTATCCTGGAGGTTGTTCTGACGTTAATTGTCTCAATTATGTTAATATGACATTTTTTACATTTTAATATACAGTGGTTACAAATCGTGTCACAACTGGCTATAAATAATTTCGAAACTGAAGATTTTATTATCCGGTAAGATTCGGTATACATTTGTCTTCTGTTACTCTGATGCGTAAACTCAGTAAAATATGGAAGAGCTCTTTGTGTGGTAACAAATGGCATGCCGTCCGATTATAACAATAAGTTGTTCTTACAAAGAGTTTCAGCATGCGTAATTATTATGTCATAGTTGGCTTTACATGTGTTAACCATTACAGTTCTTTTATTTTATAAACATTTGTTTTTAGTTATTAAACATTGTTATATTTATTATTCAAAATAACTTTAAATTACTGTGATTTTTGCAGGCTTAAGAAAGACGGACATGCCTCAATAATTCTATCATAAACCGCGCGGCAGATAAAGGAAGCCATCTTGATACGACGCAGTGGGCCAGTTATAAATCGAGACGAGGGGGTTCAAAGGCTCTCGCACATCTATGACCAAGTATTTAACAAAGCTTAGCTTAATCGAGTCATTTCGGTACATATATATAACAACCATTGTACATACGCTTATAGCGTAGCCGAAATCGACATCGATTTTGTGGACATCTCGTACACATTTTACACCTTTGTGTGCATACGCTTCACTGGTCATTTGTCTGTTGAAGGTGACAGTGTACATATTGTATTAGTCATCGAAACATCACATAGAAATTTTTATTGGTTGTGTAAAAAAGAACCTTTCATAATCCATACTTACCAACCTGAAGAAACTGTTTAGAAATATCATAAATCGCTATATTTCGAAAAGATGTAGAACGTTGCCATAACTTTGATACCTATTGTGTTAAGATCCACCCTTGGCCAGCTTGTTTTTCACATGGAATGGAAACATTTTACGAGCTTAAAACAATAGGTATCAAAGTTATAACAATGAACTTTTGAAGTGTTATAGTGTGTTACCAGACAAGGATCCAGGTATTAGATGCTTTGTATGCAGACACAATCACATATTTATAATGTGGATTGTTGAAAATGTGGTTTAAGTATCTAACTTAATGCTCCTTCCTTCAATAAATCTCGTCTACATTAGAGAATACAATCGGACGAGTATGACGTCTTGTAAACTCGAAAAAAGCAAATCAGGTTAAGAGATCGACCGGAAGTTACGTCACACCATATGACACAAACAGATCATAAGCAGTAAATTTCACAACAGTACATTGTTACATGTAAATGATTTAGGATTAGTTGACACAGAATGTCGTAGGTTACTTTAGGTAGTGTGTCATTTGCGAATAACGGTAATACATCATATAATGAATAGATATAAATATATATATATATATATAGTAGATAATAAATAAATAAGTCCTTGCGAAGGAAAATATAGAATAAAAACATTTTTTTCAGATCGTCCGCTAGGCCTTTCTGCCTTCTAGGGCTTCTTCAGGCGGATTGATTATTATTATATATATATGGAGTCATCCATTCGGTTCAGTAAATAACTGAGTGTTGTATGCGTGATGAGAATACATATGGACATTAACGAGCGATGATTCAGCATTTCAACACATACAACGTTTCATTACACTTGCAAGAAATTCTGTTTTATCCTAACATGTTTTACATAGCTTTTACTTGACCTGCAATATTATCATGAATGCAAAATCTTAACAATGAATTCCATGAGGAAACGTGCAAACAAATAATTTAACTGTATAATGTTCCAGCTTGTATTGACATGGACTAAGAATACCAACTAAAAGTATATTTATACCTATGTTTGTTAATATGCATATCTGCTTTTTAATAAATGAATAAATTAAACAACCGAATAGATATTTAATAACACACAATATGGTTGGTAAAATATATCTAAGGCGTTTTATATTTAATCCAAGATGCATACATTGTTCAAATAGCAGTGATACAGTACATCGAAATCGTATGTAATGTACAATATATACGTACAAAATATGGACAAGAAAATCATCTTTTAAAGTTATTATTTGTTCATAGAAATTAGGCGTTATAAAGTTGTTATGCAATAGTTTGACGGAAGAGATTAAAGCAATTATTAAAAAAAAAAAAAGAAAAAAGAAAAATGGACATTAACATATTGGCAGTTAAGGAGGTGCCAAATAAAACGAGGGGCATTGTATCGTGGTTTCAGTTTATGTCGAATGATAAATGCTTTAACTAACTATAATTCTGAGTGTAGGATTTCGGATAAATTACCTATATCTGAATGACCTTAACTTGACAACGAGTTGGACAGAGTGATAAAGTTCGAAATGGTTTTTAGACATTTAACTTTTAAAGGCGGTACCTAGGTTGGGCGGGTTTTTTTGTGGGGTTTCAGTACATAGTGACAGAGTGCGCTGTTGAGATGTTAATCAGACACATCACAAATCGAAATTGCGCTGTGGACTGTCATCTTTATTACCATACACTAATCAACATACATTTGATATTTTTTTCTTTTAATCAACATTACGTTTTAACCGCGTGTTAATTAATAATACGTTTTATCCGGGTGTTAATTAGCATTACGTTTTATCCGCGTGTTAATTAACATTACGTTTTAACCGCGTGTTAATTAACATTTCGTTTTAACCTCGTGTTTATTGACATAACGTTTTAACCGCGTGTTAATTAACACTGCGTTTTAACCGCGTGCTAATTAACATTACGTTTTTACCGCGTGTTAATTAACATTACGTTTTAACCGCGTGTTGATTAACATCACGTTTTAACCGGATGTAAACTAACATTACGTTTCAACCACGTGCTATTTAACATTACGTTTTAACCGGGTGTTAATTAACATTACGTTTAAACCGCGTGTGAGTGTTCAACTTTAAGGGTCACTGTACCACGGCGGGCAAAACACTAGAAACTCCACTTCAGTTTTCCGTATATGCAGTAACCTTCTAGATCTCTTAATATCAGAAATGAATGATGATAAATGACAGTTAATGAAGAAGTATGATTTTGTAAGTGCAATTACAACAATTCAAATACAAGTTATAAATCTACGAAGCCTTGGTGAGTCTCGTGTGGTGCTTCTCTTGCTACAATAATAAAATAATAAAAATAGTCGATGTTATACTCGCCGCATTCGTTATAACAAGTTTTAATTGTCGCCATTCTTTTGCTTTCTAGGGAAAATATTCTCCTTCCATTTGAAATATGAATTTCGACGTTTTGATTATGGTCATTAATGTGCCTTGTGGTATTGTTACTTTGAGGATGTACCATGGCTTTGAAACGACTTAAACTATTTTAAAACATGCATGCTAATGCGATTTATCGTTCAGGGTTCGTGCCAATTTGTCATCTGTTTAATAATACAACATATGTCGTCAGGATAATGTCTACATAATAAAGCATGGCCTTATCCTTATAATGCGGTAACATCAATATATATATATATATTATACTGTGATTGAATACTGAGGGGGAAATCGATGAAGAGAAGCCTGTTTTATTGATGCGATTTATCAATGTAAAATTGTTTAAATATGGCTATTCATTTCCAAATTTATAACAATTTCACGATTTTATATTTGGTTCTGATGTCTCATTAAAACATTTTATACAGTGCCCAACGGAAAAACATAGCTTACTTTAGCAATAAGAAACGTCCTTTAAGTAAAGAGAAATATAACAATAAAAAGAATAGGAATGTAATTTATGCAGCCTGTCTCTTTTAAGTTTATATCCCACTACTTCAGCAGGACTACATTCCATTTTGAAGACTTTAAAGAAGGACAAGATTCCACATTGTAGATTATAAAACCCCGGTGCAGAAGGCCTTTATATCCTCCGTTTAAAGATTAGTCCATGTCTCCAACGCAAAAGGCATATATTATATATTGTAGACTATGCTATCCAGGCCCATATTATGCATGGTCTCTAGGTTGATACATATATTACAAAACCAATTCTCCATAGAAAAATAGAAAGTTATATTTCTAAAGTGATATAAACGAGCTGTATGAGTCAATGCAAGGGGATAACATCCGAATGTAGAAGAAGAAGAACAACAACAACAACAGCTTAGTCAAAACAAATATAGAGAGGAATCATTGCCCGATACGAACATCGGAAGTGACTATGGTTATAGTGAGTGAAACAACAATAAAAGACGCAAGAAGACAAAATAAGAAGAAACAAGGAGAAAATATTCCAATAGAAGCTCTAGTTCATTATGAAAAATTATAAGCTGATTCATGTGTTGCTGGTTGTGAGTAAAAACAGCATGCACATAATCACAGTTGCATAGTGAACGCTGTCATGTGGCGTTCCTGTGTTGGTGTAAATCACAGACAAAAAATCATATAATTCTTACATGTTTCTTATATACTTTTTGCTTTCTTTAAACCAATCATTATGTATAATTGAAAATAAATATATTAAATAAAATAAATAGAAAACTTCTTTTTACAGATTGTGTCATATTGAAACTTAACTACTAAAGTATCATGTGTATAAAGACCTGTAAGCTGACGATATGAAATAGTTTATGATGAACACTGTAATATAGAACAATGCCAATTGTATTATCACAACTGTCAAATATAATGTATTTCATTATGGGCACAGTCACGTGTTCCTATATTCATGATTTGCGTACGGGATTATATAAATGTGTAATGCATGCTTTAAAGACGCCGCACAATTTCCAGTACACAGGAGGACGATTTATCTACCGTAGCTCCAGTGGAAAGGTATGTACACACCCATTCTTACAATGATATTGATGATTTCTGTTTAATCCTATGTGCCCTTTGTACGAACTTATTTGGAACAAAAATGTCTTTATGATACTTCTGTGACAAAGTGTCTGAAGTGTAAAAGAGATGTCAAGTTAGTAATAAGTTAGATTAAAAATGTGATAGGAGAGTAATGTTTGCGATGTAACTAATTTGGGACATAATGATTTTTATTTAATTGTGGATACTAGTGTATTACAATGTCTCGTATATAATTTTGTTGTCAGTTGTTTGCTATAATAAGTAAGTGTTACGTTACTAAATCATACAAAACACTATATTATCACTTGTACCTTCCAATGTAAAATTTCGAATTACTTATGTAAATATTACAATAGACAGCTCATTTCATCTGTTTTTAAACGATATCTCAACAGTGTTAATAAAAAAGAAATACTTCTTAAATTCAAAAGCAATCATAGGAATCATACCGACTTAATCTTATTCTCAAACGTTTAAGACACTTATCAAATTAGTTATTTTTATTTAAGACAATAACAAGGAATATAAAGTATGAACGCCTCTTTCTAAAACTTAAGTATCTCATTACAGTCAGCCGAACACAGTAACTAGTTTACTGCACCATAGTTCGTCTCTTTAAAACCAATCAGTGGTTCTAAAGCAATTAAGCTATAAGTCTTAAGTGATCCAAACTTAAGTAAAAGTACAGCGAAATGGGAATGGTCCCAATAAGAGCAATTATAACCTTAATAAATTACAACTTTTCGCTACAAAAAGGATTTCCTGTAAACCATACCAGAATGAATTTAAGTCACAAGTTTACTGCCAGCTTTGGGGACTGGTGGTCCAACAGTGGACCGATAGCCAACCACGAATATCCGGTGACGAAAAGTTTAAATCTGTTAATACATTCTAAGTTTCATCTATTAATGACCGTGCAATAATTTCAAATGGTAAATCTATTGTTCTGTTGGGTGTTTTTTTATGATAACAACCTCTAAATAAACGTTATAAAGAAGAAGAAAAAACTAATTAATTATATGATTGAGTTTCAAATATTCCAAGTCCCTATATATAAAACAATATTGCACCAGTTTCACTACAGTTCAAAATGATATCAAAAAATATTCTATATTTTCTAAGTGCATAGTAGGTAGAAGCAAATCTCTATACAGAGAATACAGAGAATACGATATTCATAATTATGTTGGTATTGGCATGTATTTTGTAAAATCACAAAACGCACATTTTGTTTTATTTATTAATATTTATCTTGATATTTAAATTTTCTAATAAAAATTGTTTGAAAATAATTTGAAAATTGTATTGTTATGATGTACTTAGAATTGATTCACTACATAAACCCAATTAACAACTGATGAAAAATGTCTTAACATTTACAATTAATAATATATCAAAATGAACCTCTTTTTCAAACAAAAATAATCATATATAATAAAACGTGTGTGTCACCTTAAAGATATATTAACAGTTGCACCCAACTCTCAAATCGATATCCTATCTGAACGTCTTTGACTCCCGTCCGTTATACGGCAGAGGTATCGGTAAATAGAAGTGCAAATTAAACAATTAGCTACTGTCCTTAATCAAATTGGTCAAAATCCCGAACTATGAGTAGCTGGCTTGCAGTTTGTATAACAACAAAGACAATCAAAACATTGTGATATATACATCCATTTAGACTACTGTTTACCGTTTTCATTTTACTCCTGTTTGTAAGATTTGTAATATTGAAAAAGAAAAATCGTTTATGATTTGTATGATTTATGAAGTAATATACTGTATGCATACAAAATATCTTACTACCAATTTTCGCTATAAACTTTTTGAGTGTTAAAGAAGTCATTCAAAATTGATGTTCGGTGGTCGTGGGATAGTAAATAAAATCAACTTTTCTTGCAGATTGATTTGACTGAAAGGACTTAGCGCCAGACAGCTAAAATGAGACTCGACATTTTCGTCGCTATCTGTGCAGTGGCATTTGCACAATATGTCAATAGCCAGGACCAAAGTCTGATGGATGTTTACGCTAACTTACAGGATGAATACAACGAAAAGGCAAATGCTGTTTTCAACGGTAACCCACATTCATCAAGAGAAATGCATCCAGACCTAAATCTCCATGATGTGTTAAGTACGATTAGTGGAGGTCCTTTTACATCATCAGAGAGAATTCTGGCAGATATGGAACAGGATGAAGGGAGTGATTCCCTTGCAAGTTTAATGGCAGAACTAGCAGAAATGGAACAAACAGGTGGTAATATTGCCGATAGTCATGAGGAAGACGTTAACATGGATAACAGTCTTGAGCGATTAGAAGCAGAACTAGCAACAATGGACGGTGGGGATAGTCAGTTGGTAGATGTCATGGGAGAAGATGGCTTAGGCGATGCTGATAGTAGTAGTCTTGAAAAATTGGAAGCAGAATTGAAACTACTCGATGAAGACAACGATGGTGATAGTGATGCACTTGGAGGGAGCACAGAAGACACTACTGAATCTGACTTTGATAGTAGTCTTGCAAAATTGGAAGCAGAATTGAAACTACTCGATGAAGACAACGATGGGGATAGTGATGCACTTGGAGGGAGCACAGAAGACACTACTGAATCTGACTTTGACAGTAGTCTTGAAAAATTGGAAGCAGAATTGAAACTACTCGATGATGAAACCGATGGGGAAAGTGATGCACTTGAAGGGAGCACAGAAGACATTACTGAAACTGACTCTGATAATAGTCTTGAAAAATTGGAAGCACAACTTAAACAACTGAGCATGGATAGCGGTGAGGATAATATGGAAGATGGTATGGACACTTCCGCTGATAGCAGTCTTGACGGAATGGAAGCAGAACTAGCAAAATTGGAAGGGTTCAGCAGTGAAGATGAACAAAGAGAATTTGATGAATTGACAGATTTGAATAGTGAAGAATTGGACCAAGATGCCGACGACATTAATGATGATGATGATGTCCAGGATGATGGTGAAAATCATAGTGCCGGCATTGCTGATGTGGCCGACAATGGCGATAATGAAGAAAGTATGGAAAGCTTGTTATCAGAACTAGAAGAAATTGAAAGCCAATCTGAAGGTCCTGGTTTCGAAAACATCGCCGGTGATTCCGCTTTTCTAGAATACCTACAGAACTTAGAGACATTACGAGGTAGCCAAAACACCATTAGACAAAACCAAGCAGCACAAGATATAAGTTCGAGCATAGCTGCAGACCTAAGCAACAATTACATTAGCGAGCCACGAAACCAAGTAGCGCAAGAAATGGGTGCGAGCAGTGTTTCAGACCAGAGCAAAAATTCCTTTAGCCAGACACAAAACCAAGCAGCGCAAGATATGGGTGCGAGCACTGCTTCAGACCAGAGCAAAAAAGATATGAGCCAGACACACAACCAAGAAACAAAACATTTGAGTTCGAGTTCGAGTTTTGCTTCAGGAGGAAATACAGTATCCGGTTCAGGCAAAGACAATCTATTAGCAACATTTCTGAAAAGCTTCCGACTTTAAGAAGAAACGGTAAGTCTGAAATACATGTACTGATCAACATCGTTTTAAATTCTGTTGTCTGCACGTCTGTGTATACATCTGTCAGTCTGTCGTTATGTTTGTCGACACTTTTCGTTTCTTAGATTATCTCAGAATAAGAAGTCTAAATATTCTTTGTTTTTATATATTGTGATGCAATGCTTTATGTAAATAAACAATAGGGCTTTAAACGTTTCTAGTGTCCAGGTCAAATATACTTTATTAAACCAGTGCACAAGGGATTTAATGTCAAAGAACATTGTAATGCCCTCTTTTACCCACAATGGTTCAGTTGTGCTATAAACGATATTTGTTGGTTACCCAACACGAACAACACCAAATTATTGAAATCCCAAAATTCAAGATAATCACCTGCCGGAGATTAGAGTCACTGATACTGTAAATAGAACAGGGATGATGCACAAAACAAAAATTAAAAATAAATTTCATATATATCTTTTTGAATTGGTACTGTTTGCTGCAATTTGACATGTTTCTTGGTGATCCTACATTGATAATGACATATTGAATTGAGTCCAAGGTCTGTGACGAACACAACACCAAGCCCTACTTGACATATCAGACATCTCCAAAAAGACACAGACAAAAACACACGAGTGGACTACATATCACACCATTACACTGTCTATCCATTATCAGTTGACATAACTGGCCAAAACATTTGAAATAGGAATGAACCCGGAAGCAAAAACGTCAAAAAGAAAGCCAACTGTGATAACATTAACACAACATCATAAACACCTACACATCACGTTTTCATTAACATGTTCAGGCAACAATTAACAGACCCCATTCGAAACATTAAAAACTTAGCACCTGTTTAATCCGAATAATTACCTGAAAATCTCGAGACTTTTCAACAATTTCCCACGATCAATTAGTATAAACAGTTTTATTCCAAAGATTTAACGAAAAGCCCATAAACAGATAAAAATACAAAATCTGTAATAGCAGAAGTACAAAAAGCATTATAGTCAAACGTGTTCCATTTTACTCTTTTGTGAGGTACACAAATATTTACTTTCAAATATCTGGTACACATTATTTTCAATTTGAAAAAGATTTCACACCATCAATTATTTTTTTCTCATTATTGAGTTACTGCAGATTCTTCCTGAGGAAGTTACAGCTTCTGTTAACCTCGGTCATCACTTGTTATTAGCTATCAATATAAGAAATGTATACGGCGTTATATGGTTTGCTGTACCAAATCGGCAACTTTATAGTTAAAAATGTACTTGCTGAAACAGTGTAAACACTTGTGAAATATGCAGCGTTTCTACACAAGAAAATCATTCGAGTCCTTAGGCGGTTTTAGAATAGTTCAAGTAAATATATCAACTTGTCAATTCGTATACGCATGCTGAAATTTATGCGCGGACAGTTTAAAAGCGAGCATCTTTACACCACGAGCTTTTCGACTTTGACAGTATACGATACACATTTACCTACTAGTCATTCAATATATACCATGTAAAAAATTAACGCGATACACCGTTAGCTACAAATGAAGTTCAGTATCTTAAAACTATCTAGCCGGTATGGGAGTTCATGCACTCATTCACCTGGTCACGTGCTTGCTATCACAGCGTACTCAAGAGAAACGAGTAGAACCAAAGCACACTCTCAAACAAAATTTCAGTTAATTCCGAAGTACCTCAAGGAGCCTGTCAGGTTGTTACCCTCTTCCTCCAACACATATTCCGTCTTTGCGCATTGCAGAGTTATCTTCTCTTGTGAACTGGTATTGATTGTTACGTCATTTGTTTGTGAGAGTAACGGCATCAATTTTTGAGAAAACGACGTAATTTTCTCACACAAACCAATGACGTAACAATCAATACATGCTCACAAGAGAAGATAACTCTGCAATACGCAAAGACGGAATAAACCTTTCCGGAATACACCAAACACAGTACATTCAGGAAGATATTGGCGCAGTCTGTTGGTAGGAGCATTTATCTGGATGGGAACACCAAAAAGTAGATCACATAATTTAAAAAAAAAAATAGAACAGCAGGATATGTAGAAAAGTGATACAGCTGAATCAGTGTATACAAACAGACAGAGACCAAGAACTATAATATTACTTACAAATGTTGATTACAATAGACGCAATATTCCAACCAGCTTACCCAAGGAATAAACTACCGATCCCTACATATTCAAACAAATTTCCTGATACCAATATCACGTGTAAATACTCTTTCTGTCTAAACACATCGGTGCCTTTTCCTGAAAACAGCTGTACAAAGCACCACAAAAGACGTCCTCAGTCACATATTGAGAACGCACTTCTTAAAGATATCAGACCCAAAATGTACACCATATACACAACGTGATTTGCTTTTATCTATTAACTATCATTAAAAATGTGAATTGTAAATATCAATTAACATTTGTGTTCAAATCCTCCCCACAATGTTATCCACTCCCACTACCAACCCCCTCACTTTCTGACAGCATGATCGTGTATATAACAACCTACACACCGACCAATAGACAGAAATATTTATTCAGAAAAATGACTGATGGATGGCGTTTCACAACTATTTGCCCTGCGGTCGTTGACATACCGTGAACATCTGATCACGTGACTTCTAAATTTACTTTCTAATGGATTACAACATGTCAGTTTGTCACAATACACTTTCCATCAGGAAATGAAAACATAACTCTGTCATGACTGATGCTTCAATGGAATTAAAGTGCCAGATTAACATAAATTAACTTTGATTTGGCAATTAACGTATTTATGAAGCTGTATTGATATTTTATCGTTGGAATTTCGCATCCTACTTAAGTTTTCTTTAAAGCTGGGAAGAACATTTATGCATCATTTATGTTCATTATGTCTTAATTTGTACTTCTCATTAATTACTCCCAATGGCTTCGGTTATTATGGGATTATTTCGTTATTAGAAACATGTATTGAACTTAGATTACAATAATATTGTATCTTACCTCTTCAGTTAATCCACAATTTTGCAACAATATTCATATTTGGAGCAAACTATTGAAAATCCTTGTATGCAAATAGGCTAAACCGAATACAAACATAGAAAGTCAATAACTTTATAAAATAAAGGAAAATGAATAATATAATCGCTATGAATCAAGTGTTGATATGTCAACAAAGTGGCTGCAATTCAATGATTTTAATTTAATATTGTATTGGCGGTTTACATAATGAGTTTCCCATTATATTTCAGGTAGCTCGTAAGAGTTGTCTCCCTTTGTCTTTGCGGGTCCATGAAGGTTCAAGAAACACCTGATCATCCGTCGGACATGTTTGAGTAACCAATAACCGTTTTGCGGAACAATCCAAAGTGCAATTGAAATCACTTTCAACAAGTGTTTCGCTTGTGATATAGAACTGTTTGTCTAATCACGATGTTTTGAATTGACGAAAATACGAGTTTGTTCAACATCAGTTCACATTGATGCGACTGTAAGATTCTACTTTCTTTTACAGTATGAAAAAAATATTATTCACAAATGAATTTCGGGACTTGATATATTGGATAATCAATATAGCACATCATTACTCGTCAATAAATCCTAACCTCGTATTTGTATTCCCCCTAATAAATTGTTCAGTGTGTACGCAGATCTTGTTATTGTTTGTAGTATTTGTTCATCACGTAAAAATGTCGCCACCCAGTGATTGTAATGTTACAATATTTTCATGGAGTTTTGACAAAAATATCAAGTAAATCAATTCATAGTTCAATTATCTAATGTATCGACGAAGTGTCAAATAAACAATGAAAGGAGGAGATCAATTTGAATCATATATGAAAATTGAAATAATTTGGATTCAATAATTTTACTGTTCGAGAGGCACACATTATCAAGTGACTGTCTGATTTAAGAAGCAACTTTTTTCATTCTCATAAAGCAGTTCCCTTATTTTATAAAACATTTATCAAAATGCTCGCGTCCGTTAAGAGACTACGTTTCAGCATTCATTCGAGTGGTCTCACCATACAGATTTCTTTTTTAAGTATGTTCGCACTGGGAGTTCCTCTTTTAAAGGATATCCCTCAGTATTGAGGTGATCACAAGGACCTCCCTGACACCGCCCCTACCACACTTATCACCATCATGGTGTTTGTGGGATTGCTATTCACCACCACACCCCGACAACTTTACAATGACGGCTAGTAGGGAGGGTGTTGATTATTATGGATGCGACAACTGCCGTTTGTATAGCATAATAGATAACGATAATTGATGACCGAGATAAACCAGAGCTGTACGTTTCTGAAGAATCTGCGGTAACAAATCTTTAATGAGTAAAAAAAAAAAGGAATTGTCAGCGTGGAAATCAACAGTGGTATTGTCTCATCCGAGACTGAAACGAAAGCAATCCAGGTCGAGGATCAATTTGTCATTTGTAGCAAAATCATAATACCATGCTTTCTGAATATCAATATGATATCAGTATCCAGTTGTATAAGGAGTAACATGATTTAAACAACTCTTGTGTCACTCTGTGACACTTGATAGATCGTCCGAAAATTAGAATTCTCTGGTTCGTCTGCATGTACTTGACACCTCCTCAATTGATTCTAATGTGTGCTCGTATGATTACTAATTATTAGTCAGGTCATCAGTTAATGATCACTAATTATTAGTCAGACCGCAATACAGGTGACGAAGTAGAGTAATGCGTGACCACTTACTGTCATACCTAGCTTATCTATCGCGCTAGGTGATGGAACTCGATTTCCTGTTGTATGTAGATCGTCGTTGTGTTGGGTTAAACTAGCCATCACATTGTTTTTTCATTCGGATTGGACCATACACATACATAGGCGATCAGGGTGATTGGTGAGTACATACAAGTGAATATCACTTAAGATTCTTAATTAAAGTTCATCGATTTTAGCAACTAAAATTTGTTTTGCTGAAAAAATAATTCTTTCACTTCAATTTTGTTTCTTCATATTTTTCATTTTTTTTATTATTATCTTGCTTTTGTGAATTTCATTTTTTTTCCTTTTCTTTATTATATATATATATATATATTAATTTTTGTTACAAAGTCATCCCCAAAGCTACTTCCATATAATGTAAAATATAAGATATTGATAGGGCGAACATGCTGTTTAATAAATTAAAGACCATAGTAACCAAAAAGTCAAAGCTACAATTTGTGTCATTTTAACGCTGATAATACATTAACCTAAATGAATATCTATCAATATTTTTACATTATTTTCATTAAAATATAACATTTATATGTCTGTTAAAAACTTTCCAATATTCTAAAGTTGATGTTCTGATCAAGGAATATAATAAATGTGACGTATGTACCTTAGCGTACAACACACATTAAATGATAATGGCTTTAGTTGTTCAACTTTTATCATCCAGTCAACAAAGAAACGGTAAAATGCAAATATGATCATATTCTGTGATATTCAGTATTTTGTTTTTAAGCAATACGTTATTAATCTCAATAAATGCATCACGATATAAGATTGTATTGTTCGTGTTTGACACGAAATAAACAGCTTGTCACATAACCCTCTGAAATATTTTTTATGTGTTGTCTTCAAGACATGCAGACATGTGCAATTTTACAAGAAAAAAGACTCATTACAGCAGAACAAACATATACTCGCTGTAACAGAATCACATTTTTTTAAACTTTCTTTTTTTGTATATCAAGCTGTATCCTTTCAGTGTATCACTGAAAACAGTTTTTAAACGTTAATATTTATCTATGTGTCCCCTGACAACATAGTACGAGGATGAAATTCAAAGTAAAGGATTCTATCGTTTTTACTCTTCCTTAGATTTTCTTTTTTAAATCAATGATTTGAGCAAGGCAATTATTCTTATTATTGTATTGTTAATAATTGTGATGATATTCGTTCTAAAACCATCTGCAAGACTACTTTTTCTACTAAGTGAAAAAAAAAAAATCAGTCTTTGTTACCTGTATCGACGATAAGCTCAGTGGACGCAAAACCTAAGATATGCGTAACGTTATACACGTCTACTGGAGTTTAACTGTTACTCACAACAAAGCATTAGCTACGGTGGCTGAGTTTAACTGTTACTCACAACAAAGCCACAGCATTAGCTACGGTGGCTGTGTTCAACTGTTACTCACAACAAAGCACTAGCTACGGTGGCTGAGGTAAACTGTTACTAACAACAAAGCATTAGCTACGGAGGCTGAGTTAAACTGTAACTCATAACAAAGCATTAGCTACGGTGGTTGAGTCCAACTGTTACTCACAACAAATCATTAGCTACATTAGCCGATTTGCCCCATTTCTACGGTGGCTGAGTCCAACTGTTTCTCACAACAAAGCATTAGCTACGATGGCTGAGTCCAACTGTTACTCACAACAACGCATTAGCTACGGTGGCTGTGTTAAACTGTTACTCACAACAAATCATTAGCTACATTAGCCGATTTGCCCCATTTCTACGGTGGCTGAGTCCAACTGTTTCTCACAACAAAGCATTAGCTACGATGGCTGAGTTAAACTGTCACTCACAACAAAGCATTAGCTCCGATGGCTGAGTTAAACTGTTACACGAAACAAAGCATTAGCTACGGTGACTGAGTTAAACTGTTACTCACCACAAAGCATTAGCTACGGTGGTTGAGTCCAACTGTTACTCACAAAAAAGCATAAGCTACGGTGGCTGAGTCCAACTTTTACTCACAACAAGTTATACACGTCTACTGGAGTTTAACTCTTACTCACAACAAAGCATTAGATACGGTGGCTGAGGTAAACTGTTACTCACAACAAATCATTAGCTACATTAGCCGATTTGCCCCATTTCTACGGTGGCTGAGTCCAACTTTTACTCACAACAAAGCATTAGCTCCGATGGCTGAGTTAAACTGTTACACGAAACAAAGCATTAGCTACGGTGGTTGAGTCCAACTGTTACTCACAACAAATCATTAGCTGCGGTGGCTGAGTCCAACTGTTACTCACAACAGAGCATTAGCTACGGTGGCTGAGTCAAACTGTTACTCACAACAAAGGATTAGCTACGGTGGCTGAGTCCAACTTTTACTCACAACAAGTTATACACGTCTACTGGAGTTTAACTCTTACTCACAACAAAGCATTAGATACGGTGGCTGAGGTAAACTGTTACTAACAACAAAGCATTAGCTACGGTAGCTGAGTCCAACTGTTACTCACAACAGAGCATTAGCTACGGTGGCTGAGTTTAACTGTTACTCACAACAAAGCCACAGCATTAGCTACGGTGGCTGAGTACAACTGTTACTCACAACAAAGCCAAAGCATAAGCTACGGTGGCTGAGTCCAACTTTTACTCACAACAAAGCATTAGATACGATGGCTGAGTCCAACTGTTACTCACAACAGAGCATTAGCTACGGTGGCTGAGTCCTACTGTAACTCGCAACAAAGCATTAGCTACGGTAGCTGAGTCCAACTGTTACTCACAACAGAGCATTAGCTACGATGGCTGAGTTAAACTGTTACTCCCAACAAAGCATTAGCTACGGTGGTTGAGTCCAACTGTTACTCACAACAGAGCATTAGCTACGATGGCTGAGTTAACCTGTTACTCACACAAAAGCATTAGCTACGGTGGCTGAGTTCAACGGTTACTCACAACAAAGCATTAGCTACGGTAGCTGAGTCCAACTGTTACTCACAACAGAGCATTAGCTACGATGGCTGAGTTAACCTGTTACTCACACAAAAGCATTAGCTACGGTGGCTGAGATAAACTGTTACTCGCAACAAAGCATTAGCTACGATGGCTGAGTTAACCTGTTACTCACACAAAAGCATTAGCTACGGTGGCTGAGTCAAACTGTTACTCACAACAAAGGATTAGCTACGGTGGCTGAGTCCAACCGTTACTCACAACAAAGCATTAGATACGGTGGCTGAGGTAAACTGTTACTAACAACAAAGCATTAGCTACGGAGGCTGAGGTAAACTGTAACTCATAACAAAGCATTAGCTACGATGGCTGAGTTAAACTGTTACTCAGAACAAAGCATTAGCTACGGTGGTTGAGTCCAACTGTTACTCACAACAAATCATTAGCTACATTAGCCGATTTGCCCCATTTCTACGGTGGCTGAGTCCAACTGTTACCCACAACAAAGCATTAGCTACGATGGCTGAGTTAAACTGTTACTCACAACAAATCATTAGCTACATTAGCCGATTTGCCCCATTTCGTTGTTTCTTTTTTCGTCCCTTTTAAGTTTTGTTTTTTTCGTCTTCTATTTGGGCCAAAAACACAAAAGAACGAGAATAAAATGTGTTAATACTATTGCTTTGGGTGCAAAAATAAGAAACAACCAGAGTTAAGGTTGATATATTCTCGTCTTTTCGGGGCTCAAAGACAAAATCACGAAAATGCACAATTCATCCACCGTAATTAGCTAACCAAAAGGGATTAATTTATTCGACACTCGATCACATCTGTGGTTGCCGGACTTAAGAGCTTGAGGTATTTACATTTTATATAAAGTGAATATAGATTCAACCAGAACAATTTCAGGGAATACTTTCCCACATGTGTCGACATTTTGATCCTTATATTTACTTTTAAAACAACAACTACATCATCAT